AAGGGGGGAGGGGAAGCACAAGATAGTTAAGGAAAGAGAAAGAGAAAGAGAAAGACAAACACCACTGTTTTACTGTGGAAGTCACAGAATTTATCTAAAGGGCATGAATGAGAGTAAAAGCAAAGCCAACAGAAATGCCAAATCTTCACCCGAGGGAAGGGGGAGTGGGCAAAACTACAAGCCAATGATTGTATTTATAACTCTTTTTTTATTTATTTGTCCTAAAACTAAAGAGAGCAAAAAAGTAAAGCCTTATATGAATGTACCTTTCAGATTCAACTCTTCAAGCCAGAGACTTATTATTCTTGTTAAGTTTTATGTTTTTAAGAGATTTGCCTAATTTGGCAATTAAGTTGATATTAGTCATATATTTCTTTCCTTATAACTGTCACTCGGTGACAAAACACTCCCCCTGCCCCCTTGTGCCCCCAAGCTGCAGAGGATTTTAAACTGCACCCTGAGCAGGTCTCTAGCTCAGCACTGTCCAATACAGCACATGGGAACCACAGGCGTAATTCTAAATTTTCTAACAGCCACATTGAAAACAAGTATAAAGAAACAGGTGAGACTTCGTCTTAGTGATATATTTTACGTAACCTAATATATTCAATATGCAATGTGATGAAAATAACTCAACATGCACTCAATATAAAAATATTAGTGAGATAAATTTTACTTTTTTTGTACAAAGTTTTGAAATCCATTGTGTATTACACACTTCGAGCACATCCCAGTTCCGCCTGGCCACATTTTTAAGTGCTCAACAGATACACGTGGCTAGCGGCCACAGAATTGAACAGCGCGGAACTAGAACCTTTCCAACAAATTGTATTTTTAAAAAATCCTCGGTAACATTCACCAGCTAGGAAGGTAGGGAAGGGTCCTTCTTTCCCATTCTGCCCCCAGGGTCATCTGGCTCCTGAACACAACCCCTCCATGCAGACCTTCAGACCACCGTGTCCCTGGGGTCTCCAAGGAGAACGATAGGGGGTCCCGGGCTCAGCCCAGGGTGGGGCCCGGGGCAGGAGGGGCCTGGGGGAGCCCAGCTCGCTCTCCGGCTTACCTGAGTCCACGCTGAGGCCCAGCCCCTGGGCCA